ATTCCTCCGGAGCAGGAGGAGAGAGGCCCCATCCTAGGGGCTGAACTTCGTGACCCCTAACGTGTCACTGTATTTTGGTCAGGTTTTCCAGTTTTTCCAGGAGTTGGCTAATGAAAAATCTGGTTATTTTAGAGATAGCAATGGCTTGGTATTATTTTGCAGAGAATCAAATGCTCCTAGAGTTTATTTTTGAAATCTATTTCTGTGGTTCTTCTAGAGGTCCAGTTTGATGTCTGAGATTTGGTGCCAGATAGGCTGTTTGCAAGAGAACCCTAATTCAATATGATTTTGTCTTTTCACACCTTGAAACATGAACAAGTTTTCAATTTTCAGCATTAACATTAAATTGCTAAAAATTAAAAGCTCATTCATATTTCTCATATAAAGAATAACTGATGAAATCTTCAAAATTGATGACATAAAAAGAGGCTGTGATATTCATCTTCATTTTGCCTTTCTTAATGTGCTTCCCTACAAGTTATAATTCATTGAGCTCCCCATCCTCCAAACAATCAGAAATATCTATCCACAGTTCATTTTGTGAGGGTTTCATTCTAACTCATTCTACATTTTGCTTTTTTTGGTTGTCTTTTTGTTTCCACAGTCTTGCTACATATGGAACTGTGAAGGGTTCCAGGTACTACTGCCTCCCAGCTGTAGGTGACATCAGTCATGAACACTGAGTGCACGCATAGTAACAAGGGACATGGACTTGCCAGAGGTATGTAATTGACTAGGAAGTAACAGAGATGACTTATGTCTCTCTGCTCTTCCTCACAAGTGCTTGTCTAAGTATTAATTTCCAGGCAGAAAGACCACTCTCTCTGTATCTCACATGCTGAAACCATGGGTTGTAAAGTCATGAGTATCTCGTACACCCTGTACCCATTGTAGACACAAGACACATTACTGCGATTTCAACATTGATTTCATTTTACCAAGAGTGAAATTTCAGAATGATGTGATTTAATACAAACAGATATGATTGAATCATTAGTTTCTACATTGTAGTTCCCACCTTCCTAACACTGAGTAATTGATATGTTTGCTCAAATCATGGATTTACTATGTGTCACTGGATCAGGAATGTGTCTAATGTTTTCCATGCAATTAATAACTCAGTATTTTAGGGATTATCTTATGAAAAGGTATCATATTTCTTTCCCACTTTCTTACAGTTTGTACTATAAATTTATGGTTTAGCCTTTAGAAAGATAAGTAAATTTAAAAACTTGCCGGGCGCTGGTGGCTCACGCCTGTAATCCTAGCTACTCAGGAGGCTGAGATCTGAGGATCGCGGTTCAAAGCCAGCCTGGGCAGGAGAGACCGTGAGACTCCTATCTCCAATAAACCACCAGAAAACCGGAAGTAGTGCTGTAGCTCAAGTGGTAGAGCGCTCGCCTTGAGCTAAAAAGCTGAGGGACAGCGCCCAGGCACAGAGTTCAAGCCCCATGGCCGACCAAAAAAAAAAAAAAAAAAACTTGAAAAAGGAAATCAAAACAGAACTTAGAAAGTGGCAAAAACTCCCATGCTCCTGGATTGGAAAGATCAACATCATGAAAATGGCAATACTTCCCAAGGCTATCTACAAATTCAAAGTGATACCTATCAAAATTCCAACCTCATTCTTCAAGGAAATAGAAGAGACAATCCAAAAATTCATACAGAACAAAAAAAGAGCCCGAATTGCAAAAACGCTCCTCAACAGAAAGAACACTGCTGGAGGAATATCAGTACCAAATTTCAAACTCTACTATAAAGCCATAGTAATCAAAACTGCTTGGTACTGGCACAAGAACAGACCTCAGGACCAATGGAACAGAATTGAAAACCCAGAAATGAACCTACAGACTTATAGCCATCTAATCTTGGATAAGGGAGCTAAAAAATAGAATGGAAGGAAGACAGCCTCTTCAGTAAATGGTGCTGACAAAATTGGTTAACTACTTGTAGAAAACTAAAACTAGATCCTTATATATCATGCTGCACCAGAATCAACTCCAAATGGATCAAAGACCTCAGAGTCAAAGAAGACACTCTGAAAACATTACAGGATGGAATAGGAGAAACCCTAGGTCTCCTTCTTAATAGAGACCCAGAAACACAACAAATCAAAGAAAGGTTCGAAAAATGGGATTTCATGAAATTGCAGAGCTTCTGCATGGCAAAGGACATAGCTAACAAGATCAATAGAAAGCCCACAGATTGGGAGAAGATCTTCACTAACCATACATGGACAAGGGTCTCATATCTAAAATATACTTGGAACTCAAAAAATTAAATCCCCCAACAACAAATCCTCAAAGAAACAACTGCCCAATAAATCAGTGGGCTAAAGACTTAAAGAGAAACTTCTCTGAAGAGGAAAGAAGGATGGCCAACAGACACATGAAGAAATGCTCAACCTCCCTAGCCATAAAAAAATGCAAATCAAAACAACATTGAGATACCACCTCATTCCAGTTAGAATGGCTAAAATCAAGAACTCTAATAACAACAGATGCTGGAGGGGATGTGGACAGAAGGGAACCTTACTGCATTGTTGGTGGGAGTGTAAACTTGTTCAACCACTTTGGAAAGTAGTATGGAGATTCCTCAAAAGACTCCACAAAGATCTCCCCTATGACCCAGCAATCCCACTTTTGGGCATTTACCCAAATGTTTACAAACAAGACCACACTAAAGCTACCAGCATGACTATGTTTAGTGCAGCATTATTTATTATAGCTAAGATATGGATCCAACCCAGATGCTCCTCAGTAGATGAATGGATCAAGAAAATGTGGTATATATATATATATACAATGGAATTCTATGCCTCCATCAGAAAGAATGACATTGCCCCATTTGTAAGGAAATGGAACAGCTTGGAAAAAATTAAATTAAGTGAAGTAAGCCAGGCCAAAGAAACATAGGTCCCATGGTTTCCCTTATTTGCAATATCTAGTATATGTCTGAGTCAAGCAGAAAAGTTCAGATAAGGTAATATTAGGGAAACGAACCCTAAGATATTTATTCAAATGTTTTTCTTCTTTCATGCGATTGTTTCTAACACATTTATAAGATTATTTCTTTGTTGCTTTGTATGTCCCTCCCCCACAGTATAACCCCTGCTTTCACTGTATTTGATGTTGGTATAATTTGTGGAGGGGAAGGGGAAAAACAAATCGTTTAAATAGAGATATAGGTGGACCCATTGTAACAATGAGATGTACAAGTCGTTATGTCGAAAATGAACTTTACAACTTTGGTGAGGGGGGATTGGGGGGTGAAGAGGATTGGGTGGGGGGGATGGGAAAGGATGGGAAGGGGAAAAAAAAGGAGGAGGCTACAATGCTTGATAAGAAATGTACTCATTATCTTGCCCATGTAATTGTAACCCCCTCTGTACAGTATTTTCACAATAAAAAAAAAGATAAGTAAATTTTAAAAGTATACAATTAAAAACCAGTATTTACTAGATCTAGGGTAGTACCCTAAGGGTACAGTTCCTCAGAAGGGCAAATTCATGGACCAACAAAATAAACACCAGGAAAAAGTACTCTAAAGGAAGGAGTGGTGGGATAAAATGAAGGAAGTAAACAAATGAAGAGAGGCAAGGAGGGGATAAGGCCGTCATAAAAGTCAATTCACTTCTTAGAAAATTAAGAAACTTGAGATAAGAAATGGGGTTCGGTGGGCTGGGAAGGTGGCTCAGTGATAGAGTGCTTGCTTTGGATGCCTGAGGCCCTGGGTTCGATTCCTCAGCACCACATAAGCAAAAAGAAAAAAGCCGGAAGTGGCACTGTGCCTCAAGTGATAGAGCGCTAGCCTTGAGCTGAAGAGCTGAGGGACAGTGCCCAGGCCCAGAGTACAGGCCCCACGACTGGACCAAAATAAAGAAAAGAAATGGGGTTTGGAGTGATGATGGAGAATAATGAAAGGGATGACATAAAAAAGAATATTTAGCTTTGCTTTTAAGATACTAAATAGGACCTCTATTTTCTACGTGCACATGGCCAAATAGCACACGATACAAAATTCAGTGTTTCTTAATCAAGAAATTGCTTTGTAAAACTTGGGAGAGGTTTCATGATTTGGCTATTGCTCATCATGCACCTCAAAACATGGTTATACAGATGTCTCCATTGTAAGCTGACTTTGATTTATTTTGAGGAGGGAGGTATGTTCCCAGAATGGTATAGAAGGATTATATGGGATGTTTGGATTTGGTTTCTGAGAAAACAACAAAGGAATTTCTTTTTTTTTTTTTCCTGTTATGGGACTTGAACTCTGGGCCTGGCAGCTGTCCCCAAGCTATTCAGCTCAAGGCTAGAACTCTACCACTTGAGCCACAGCACCATTTCTGGTTTTCTGTTGGTAAATTGGAGATAAGTGTTTTATGGACTTTTCTTCCCAGGATGGCTTTGAACCGTGATCCTTAGATCTCAACTTCCTGAGTAGCTGGGATTACAGGCATGAGCCACCAGCACCCGGTTTTCCAAACTAATTTCAGTAGACTAGTTTACATTCTCACCAGTTCCCAACAGTTCTGTTCCCTCTACATCCTCACTAGTATTTGTGTGTGTGTGTGTGTGTGTGTGTGTGTGTGTGTGTGTGTGCGTGTGCGTTGATATCCTGGGGCTTGAAATCAGGGCTTGGGCACTGTCCCTGAGATTCAGTGCTAAAGGATAGTCATCTAGCACTTGAACCACAGCACCACCCACAGCACCACTTCCAGCTTTTTAAACCTCTCATGGACTTTTCTGCCCCAGCTGGCTTCAAACCATGACCCTCAGATCTCAGCCTTCTGAGTAGCTAGGATTACAGACCTGAGACACCTGTGCCCAGCTCGTATTTATTTTCTTGATAACCATTCTTGGTGCAGTTTTGATTTGTATCTTCTTTATGCCTAAGAATGTTGAACAGTTTTTCGTGTATTTGCCATTTTACTTCGTTTGAAAAACAGATAATGAAAATAACCACTACTTGGCCGTTAAGAATGAAATGATCTAATTTACTAAAAAATGCATAGACCTGGACATGTTCATGTTGGGTGAAATCAGCCATCCCCACAAAACAAGTATCACAATTTTGTCTCTCATTTTGTGGAAACTAGGAGAAACAAAATCAAACCATTAAGGCCAAAGATATAAAAGGGGGATTATAGTGAAGTGGTGTGTGTGTGTGTGTGTGTGTGTGTGTGTGTGTGTGTGTGTGTGTGTGTGTGTGTGTGTGTGTGTGTGTGTGTATTTGACCAGTGCATTAATAGCATTTGTTGAAACGCCATGGGTAATTTAATATCAATGAAAACCTTAAAATATTAATTTAGATATTTACTCTCATTTTTGATGCAAATCTTATGACAATAAAATTTCCTTATATTTGTTCTTAGAATCATAATTAATCCTGATAGGTGTGTGCTTCATGTTCTGAATTATTTTGCATTCCAGAAAGGTTTTAGGATTAAAAGGGGGCAAATGATGATCTGTTTTCTTTTCTTTGTGTCATTTCATGTTATTTAATTGTAAAGGTGATGTACACAGATAAATATGTTGAAAACGAACTTTACAACTTTGGCTGGCCGGGGGCAGGGTGAAGGGAGATGGGAAGGGATGAGAAGGGGAAACAGAGGAGGAGGCAACAATGATTGATAAGAAATGTACTCATTACTTTGCCCATGTAATTGTAACACCTCTGTCTGGTATTTTCACAATAAAAAAATAGTATATTTCTTTTAAACAATTGTTTTCCCTGCCCATACTCACCCAGAAGTTATATAGTTTATTTTCAGCATACAGTGATCTATTTTTAAGTCAGTAAGCCAGTATTGTTTCTATTTAACCAAAGGGTCCTTCAGATATATTATGGATGTTATGAGGACAAAGGTAACAAGATTCCAGTAGAATGTGCCCATGGGCTCTTCAATATTGATATAACTGATTGAATATCAAAGCTTGTCTGAAATGATAGTAGCTTTTGGAAGGAGATACAACACAACAGAACAAGCTTGGACTGATGTCGATGTGGAGTCATGTGATGGAAGGGGAACATCCTCTGCTCAGATCCTCTCACATTCCTTCCCAGCATCAGATGGTCCATGTTAAAAAAAAAAAAAAGCCAGGCACCAGTGGCTCACGCCTGTAATCCTAGCTACTCAGGAGGCTGAGATCTGAGGATCATGGTTCAAAGCCAGACCCAGCAGAAAAGTCTGTGAGACTCTTATCTCCAATAAACCACTAGAAAACCAGAAGTGGCGCTTTGACTCAAGAGGTAGAGCACAGCTGAAGAGCTCAGGGACAGTGCCCAGGCCCAGAGTTCAAGCCCCATGGACAAAACAAATAAACAAAAAAAACACAATCTGAGTTTTGTCACCAACCTTCAGAAAGGGATGGTCTGACGTTTTCAACACCAGCTATACATTTTTCCTGGGATTATAAGCTTATGCCTATATCCAGACCCTACTAAACATATCCTCTTTTTGGGTAGGTCAGCAGGGATCATCAGAATTTGTACTGTCACTGCTTAATTCAAAATGGTATGTGGATTTATGTGTAAACCAAGTGTTGCAGAAATGTACCTACCTGTACTGGGCCTAGGCTCTCTGTGCAGTTTCTGGTGTAGACTGCCTTGTTTCCTGTAACACATTCCCAGTTCAGCTTCCAGCTGATAGAGATTTAAACATTATGCAGGTACATTGCTGGGCACCTGGGGGTCCTGCCTGCAAACTAACTGACTCCCAAGCTTGAGATCTAAGGATCACTGTTCAAAGGCAGCCCAGGCAGTCTCAAAAAGACTCACAAAATTGAAAGTGGTGCTCTTGCTCAAAGTGGTAGAATGCTAACTTAGCGCAAATAAAGCTCAGGGACATTGCCCAGACCCAGAGTACAAGCCCCACATCCACCACCACCAATAATAGAGACTATCCAGGTAGAGCTTTTAGTTATGGTGAATTAAACTGAATTTAGACAAAATCTTGCCCCCCCCCCAAAGTGGCTCAGATCAGGACAAGACCCATGTCCCATACTTTCTCCCAAACCAACTACACTATTCTCCATCCCTGATTAGGATTCTATATTCCAACAAACTCAACAACGAAAAGCTTTAGCAACTAACTCGAAAAATTCTCAATAAGTCATTAGTCAACTGCCAACATTCTGGAAAAGAGGTGGAGCTGCTTCTATGCTTTCTGGAATTCAACTCAAACCAGTGACCCAACAGCGCCAAGGATCACTAGCCATGAATGGCATCATTGCCTTCCCTGCAGACCCCTAGCATCCAGTGGCTGAGACAGCTTCTGTGAAGATTCCCAGAGAAGTGTTAATGGCAGATATAAGACAAACATAGGCTTTGCTAGTCAACATTCTGTCCTAGGTGAATAGCCCACAAGTACAACAGATGATGTTCCAACCAAACCAAGGTCATTAATTTGAAGAACATCCTAGTAAGCTGTCTTCTCAGGCTTCCTCATCCTGACAACCCCAAAAGGCTTTGTGAAGTTTTTGTAGTGATTAAATGGACACGATAGGTGAAATGAGGGATCGAGGGTGAGTCTTCAATGGCATGTCATGTGCCTATCACTTCTAGAAGCTTCTTTGAGGAAGACCACAAACTGTCCATCCCTACCCCAGCCGAAGGCACAAAGAGAAGCCAATACATCTCATGACACACAAAGACTGTATTAAGCAATATGTATTTGAGGGGGAGACAGAGATTGTACTCATTCACAAAAAGCAGATTTGCTTTGCATGGACTGGAGTTAGTCCTCACAAAAATGAGCCTCACAAGGAAGTACATGATAAGCATAATATGCATGACTGCCTAACCCACCCTGAGGACACTGCCCTGGGCAATGGATATGCTGCCCTGGGACATTTGTCTCCCATGGCCTATGGTGGCAGGCATGGCTGAGTAGAGACACAGGCTTTCTGGGAAGCAAGTCTGTCCCAGCGTTGTTATGGTTTGAGAGACTTCTGTCATTGAGAGGACGGCTATGGCCAGTGGGGCTGGTTTGGGGAAATGAGACCCTGCTGGTCTTCATTTGGCCGCCTTCTTGGTAAGGAGGAGCCATGTGGGAGTGGGAATGTCTATCTGTGAGGGCTTGAAATTCTTTGTGGAAAGTTTTGTTGTAGGCAGAATGCCCAAGATGAATTTCTTCTTCTAGGATTTTTCCAATGGTATTCTTGAGTGTCTGGGCTTCAGGCCCTCCACTGTCTTGGATTCTGCTTGTCGTTAAGTCTTGGTTTTTGCTATTGGCTGACTGGATTTTTGAATTTGGCAATAAGTCTGCCTGGCTCTCTTTTGTAAGAAAAATATACATTAAAAACTTCTTTATTCGGTTTCCGAACTCACTCTCTGGGGGATGCTGTGCTTTCTCTGACACAGGTAGGCTGGAGTTCTTCACAGTTCTTATTTTCCTGACCTGGGCAGGAGAGTTCAGCTTCCAGCCTTGTGAGGGCCTCATTCCTGCTGGCTTTGCCTTCTGTGTTGGAGCTTTGAGCCTCTCACAGCTCTGTGTCTCATTATGCCCATGAAACATTTTGCTGTACCATGGCTGCTGGAGTTTAGATGTCTTAGGTTCTTGCTTTGTGATTTGCTCTCCTTTTGGCAAGGGAGAGCGTCGCTCATAGAAAGTGGATGTGCTGCTTCCAGAAAGGTTCTCTGAGCTAGTTAGAGAGCTCTGAGAAGCAAACATGTCGTCAGCAATCAGCATCTCGGGGGCACCACCTTGCAGGAATGGGTCAGCATTGCAGTCCTGCAGGATATCATCAAAAGGGGTGCTTTCGCTTGTACTGGATGACCCTGGGTGATCTTTAAGGCATGAATCAAGTGGGTAGTTGGAAATTGAAATTCTGGAGGGTAATGGTGTTTCAGTGGTCCTCAGTTCTAAATTTCTGAGGTTCAAGTTATTGAAATCGATAGTGGGCTGTTCCTCTTCATCCTCTGCCATTTCCCTGACATGATCTGTGTACACAGATTTGGGTGGAACAAAGACCTCTCGGATGGTTACACTGTGGCAGAGGTTTTCTTTCTCATGTTTTGCAAACATGCCCATTTCTGGGCTTTTAGTTAATTCTAAACTGCTTTCCTCTGATCCTGGCACAATGTTATGGTGCCAGTTTCGTCCTACTAGGATACAAGATTGAGTCTCAGAAAGCAGTCTACCTTCCTCTCCAGTAGGAGACGCGTCCAAGGGACCACGGATATGATTATACTGTATTCCCCTTGGGGTTTCAGGTGGTGAAAGTGGTTGAGAAGGTTGTAAGGCATGGCCTTCACTTTTTTCTCTCTTTTTGCTCTTTTCTTTGGGAAGGGCTTCTCTCTGGCATGCACCCTCCTTCACTGTATGATAGGCCTTGATGTTACTACAGGCCATGTAGGGTGAAGCTCCCTGTGAAGTTGGTACACGGGGAGCCTTTTTCAGAGTAAGGAATTTTATAGGTTTGAGAACCTTTAGGCACAAGCCCCACTGGTGCTTTACCCAAAGTTTCTTGATATGCACATCTAGCAGCTGTCGAGTGGCAGCATCAATGTGAGAAACCTCCTGGGAGGAGCTCTTGCAGGTTTCCCTATTCTCCAAGGGAAGTTCTCTGCCAGTGTTCTTGCTAGAGTTGGAGTTTTCAAGGGGGGCCAAGGCATGACCTTTCATGCCCCGGGAATGATTAACATGCATAGGGACCTTGTCCCTGCTGATCTGCTCCCATTTAGTGATGAGATGGGCTATTGAGGTTGCTCCTAGACAGTTCTTATTTGAATGAGTTGGGGAAAAATATCCTGAGTCACTACTTGGTCTCATCAAGTCACTTTCTATTTTGCTCTGTGTTTTGGCCTTTATAAAATCCACTGAGCAGCTTTCTGCATCCCTGTCTAGAGCTCTCACTACTCTGCTCACAGAGTGTTGACGATCATTTCTAGAGTTCTCCCATCCCTGGGATACTGGGCATTCTGAGGTTGTTTTCTGAATATTGCGGTAGCAATAATCTATGGATGTAGAGTTCTGTAAAGACTCATATTTGTGGTCTGTCTGCCCTGTCCCTGTGAAATTCTTAGGGGACAGCTGGATCTTGTCATTTGTTTTACATAGGTGCTGTAGGACTCTCTGTTGGAAGTGATGTTCCAGCTTTTTCCTTATCTCAAGGCTTATCAAATCACTGGATTGGTTGCTAAAGCCTCTCTGGTTACAGGGGCCCTGATCTTGACTAAAGGTTTTGTGAGACTCTTCAACCACAGAAGATAAAATTCTACGACATTCCAGGTGTTTCTTCTCGAGATGATGTTCTAGCTGTTGAATAACAGGTGGGATAGTACAGGACCTCACTGGAGGTGATGGACAGGATAAGTTTGGTGTAGAGAACATGCCATGGGCATAGGCCTGGATCTCAGCCACTGCGGAAGGCTGAGGCCAGGATACGGTTGGAGTGAAGGGTTGTGATTTGACCAAATGGTGCAGTAAGGGCTGCTGTAGAAAGTACGGTGGAAGTACTTTAGCTTGGACTTGTACCGGCACTAAGTGCAAGAAACTATTGAATAAAACAAAGGGTAAGTCTAGTGGATGACTAGACATTTGGACAGGAGCCACCAGGGACTCGCTGTGCAGGAAGGGAAGGCCCCAGAACAGTTGGCAGCATTTCTGCAAGACCATGGGGAAAAACAGCTCCTGAGAATCAGGAAGCTGCTGTGGTTTTCCCTCGGTGTTCCAGAGGGGCTGAGGGATGGCAGTGTCTTGTGCACTGCCTAGTGACTTCATCATGTTCCCCCGAGAATCCAGAGGGTGTTCTTTTTCCTGACAAGCTGATTTCAGCTTTGCTCTCTTACTATTCACTCTGTCTGGAAAATCCAGGAGATCAGAGTTGAGGGCTGGGATAGGAGAAGGCACCCGAGAGCTGTTGGTTGGAGAGCTCTGTGGGGTGGTTTCTGGTGGGACTTCCCTGATGTCACATGGGGGAAGACCCAAGTGTGAGTCGTGCCTGGGTGGAGTGCAGGCCACAGGTGGAGGAAAATGAGAACAGGGAAAAGATCCTTCTCCTAGAGCAATCGACGGCTCCGGAGGCTGAGACACACTCTGGGATGAGTGTGACTCAACAGAAACTGAGGAACCCGTGTGGACTGGTGACAAGGTAGAGGCCAGAGGCTGCAAGCCCTGGGGTGAAGGAGATGGGGAAGCCTTCAGGGACACAGTGCTGGAGAAAGTGTCCTCCTCAGAGTCCCTCGCTGACGGGAGGGCTGTAGCAGATTCTGAGTTGAAAACTTCACCTAAGGCATCTCCTTTTAAGAAACGCTGAAAGCTTCCAGTGTCATCGAGTTTCCCTAGGGCGCTGTAGGAGACAGGAGACAAACTTCATTCAGCAACAGACAGGCCCAGTATGGGCAAGGGTATTTACCTGCTGTCCAGGGCACCCACAGTACCACACCCTGACATTTACACAGCCCTTACTTTTCTACATCCTGTGGCTTCAGCCACATCCCAGGCCAACCTGAAGTCTCTCTCAACCCCAAGACAATTCCATTCCCTGGGGTAGAAATGCAGGCACAGGGACATGTGGAAACCTTACCTACTCAGAAAGGAAGCTAAGTCATGCATCTCCTCAAGCTCTTCCCGAATCTCTCTGCAAGCTAGAAACAGATGGTGGTTAGGGCAGATAAGGCAGGGCCTCTGGAACCTACAGGAGGCTGAAGGAAACATCTCTCTAAGAACATGGAAGATCACATTGGATCCCAGATCTGTATTCATGGCCGCAAGATGGCTACCAGTGCTAAGAGGGCATATAGAGGGGTAGTGCTTCTTTATTTACAAGGGACCACCTGCTCTGCAAACCTCCATAACCTGCACAACCTCTTGGGGGACCCGGAGAAAGGACATCTCATTGCTAATACAGTTTTTAGGGAATTGAATTGGGCCACATGTGGACTTGAAGTTCACAGCTCCTCATCAAGTCAGTGTTACCTCTCAGCCTCTCAGCCCCTCCCCCTGTGTGACACACCTCCACATCATCAGTGCTACCTCACAGCCTCTCAGCCCCTCCCCCTGTGTGACACACATCCACATCATCAGTGTGACCTCACAGCCTCTCAACCCCTCCCCGTGTGACACACCTGCACATCATCAGTGTGACCTCACAGCCTCTCAGCCCCTCCCATTTGTTATGATGCATGTCGCAGCTTCATTCCACGCAGAGAACCTGAGAAGTGTCTCCAGTTCTGGTGTCTTTCCCAGGACTCTCCTCCTAAGGTTTTACACACTGAAATACTTGGTGGCCTGGCTCTTGCTGACAGACCTTAGGAGAAAGTGCGGAGCCTACCTTTCAGAGCAGCACGTTTCTTCTTGCACTTGATCTGGCCTCTTTTCTCCACAGGATACTGAGAGATGAGAAAAACGTGACTTAGACCTCTTTACTCTTCCTTTGCCTAGACAAGTTGAGATATTTGGTGTTTCTGGATAAAATGGTGTCTTCACCTGTGTCCCTGCATTTCCTTTCTTCACAGTTACTGTGGCTGCTAATTATTTGTTTTTCTTATATGAGATAAACAAAGATCACCTCAGTGCTTTTTCTGTTCTCAGGACCAAGACTCTGATTTCCAGGTGCCTCTCAGCTTCCAGGTTGGCTTTTCCTTCCTGAGTACAAAGGTGACCTTAGCCTCTGATGGGAGGTTGACATGGGCTTTGAACAGTCCGCTAATCAGCCTAACACTGGGGAGAGTGCGGTTTTCAGGCACCTGCTGTGACATGGGATTGAGTGTTCAAGTCCTCAGCTCTGAGGACCTCAGTCCTTGGTTGCTGAGCTTCAGGGTTTGAATTAACCCTGGTACTTGCTGCACACCACACAGCTGTTCTGTGAGCTCAGAATACTACCTTATGTTACTGACATTGTGCCCTGTGCTGATAGTGCCTAAAATTTTCCCTCAAGAAGCCTTGTTACTTGTTTTGGAGAAGTGAAAACATCAGTAAACAAAAGAACCATTTAAAAAATTATCATTAAGTAGTTGTACACAGGAGTTGCCATTTCACAAGGCAGTTTGTGAATATCATGTACCTTGATCACTCTTAATCTGTACCACAGTGTCTCCCTTTTGTCTCCCACTCACCCCTTTCCCTTCTTACTGTCAGATTATAACATTGAATTCTTTTCTCCCTTGACTAACCCCTTTCCCTTTGACCCCCTCCCCACCCTGTCAAGTACTCATTTCCTGTTTTTTTTTTTTTTTTATTTTACTGAACTTGGATTTTTGGCTTTCTAATGAATTCCACATTGAGATCTCCTTTGACTCTACCATATCTCAGTCAATACATGGATGTAAGGGCGATCTGGCTGCGACATTGATCACCATGGTTTCAGCTGATATGGCTGGCTAGGCGGGTGTCCCCTTCCTCCCTCACCACTCCATGTGCATCCCTCCCAAAGCTGCGCACTTGGTCGAAGAGGACGACCATTCCCGACAGAGACCGGGTCTTCGGTCAAGGGTATACGAGTAGCTGTGCTCCCCTGCTAGAACCTCCAAACAAGCTCTCAGTCAATACATTTGTGTACACATACATAACACCCACCACATTTGTGAGTATATAAGCTAAATCTAGCTTCCACATATAAAGGAAAACATGGATCTTTTGTCTCTCTGGGACTGACTTAATTCACTTAATTTTCCCAAGTCTTCCATTTCTTTACAGATGTTACAATATCACTCTAACTGATAAGTAAAATTCCAATGTCTGTGTATAGATATATAGATATAGATACCTATTTTTGGGTGGTCTGTCCTTAGGGATCTTACCTTCATCAGTTTGTTCTTTCTCTCAGGTGTTGGTGAGGATGGATTTTCCTTGAAGCAGGGGAGTAGCAGTAGCAGGAGGTAGAGCCCCACGCCACCCACAATGGCAAGGATCATATCCATTGCAAAGGTGGCGAGTTCAGGGCTCAGCCATGGTATAGCAACGCTTTTCAGTGATAAGAGAAGATTCTCCATCATCTGAATCGCACTATTGCTCTTGAGCAACTGAGCTCTGGGAGTTTCTTTGGCAATATATAGTAAATGAAGGCCTACATCACAAAAGCCTGGTTTTCTAGTAAGTCACAAGGGGGAGGAGTGATGTGTCACAAAGCCCTCCTCCCGCCACTAGCACAGCAAGTCCTTCAGTCTTGGGCCCTCTAGATTCCTACCTCCAAATTCACCTGCTCAACCTGTCAGAGGCATACTTCCATCCATTTCCTGTGCCTTTCCCCTTGAATTCAGATATTACCTGTTTCTTTGGAGATCACTACTTACAGTCCATATCGTTAACAGTTTTTGAAAATTTAGAGTTTACTCTGGAATTTGTGTTGTTCACTTTGCTTTTTAGTCTCAAGATGACCCCTGTCTACAATTCCCAACTCTCCCGTGTTACTGGAAATTCAGTTCCCTGAATTCAATGTCAATTCAATGTCAGTGAGATTAGTGTCTTAGAGTAAAGGAAATAAAGGTTTATTAATTTGAAGGCAAAATGAGACCTACTTGAGCTATTGTCTGAGAAAGAAAAGCAGTCCTTGTAGGTAGGGGAAGAAGGAGGCTTTTATGGACAGGTCCAGGAGCATGGACTTCCTGATGGATTTAAGTGCTGAGGCATGAAGGTCCGGCCTAATGGTGTTCTTAGGCCTGCTTATTTCCAAATGTGTTAACCAGCAGTCTCCAGAGATGTAGTCATCATCCTAAATGTTCCTTCAATACCTTGGAAAGCAAGATAAGGAGAGGAGTGTGGTGACCTTGACTGAAAGTATGAAAATCATCCTGAATTTCCTCTTCTAGGGAATGGCAAGTTGGTAGGTGGGTGGGGCAATAGAGTGAGAAGAGAAAAATGCTGCCTTTGAAAAACTCAAGAAACTGGAAGCATCCTGGTTAAGTCATGAGCTAAATCCTCACATGTGAACTTATTTAGATGTTGGATCCTTTTACATTTTCCTCACTCTCAATTTTACCCACCAATTTCTTTCAAAGAATTATTGTCGATGTCTAGATGCTTCCTGCTGAAATGGAATAATGACCTATGATGACTTGGTGTCTCTCATCTGTAATCCCAGCTAAGCAGGAGACAGAAGTAGAGGACTGAAGTCCAAAGCTGCTCTGAGGAAAACTATCACAATGATAACTGAAAAAAGATCTGAAAAATAACTCAAAAGCCAAAAAGAAGGTGAGGCTCTGCCCAATATGGTCCTGAGTTCAAATCATACTATTGCCAAACAAAACAACCTAAATAAAAAATTAATAAGAAACTAGAGTTCCATGTTCTTCTAGTTTCTACCAACATCAAATTTCTGTTTTATTTGGTTTTTCATGTGTGCTGATCTTGGGCTTGAACCTAGGGTGGAAGCCCTCTTCCTAAGCTTTTTGCTGACGGCTAACAGTTTGACACTTGAGCCACAGCTCCACTTGCTTCTGCTTACTTTGTAACAGCTATCCTAGTGAATGTAAAGCTTATTTTGGGGAGCTCTGCCTACTTGAAACACACAAGAGAAGAGAGCAGCAAGGAGGCGTTAGCACCAAGCGGAGGACTGGAGTGATGGCCAGCGGAGGAGCGCTCAGACGCGGACACGGCCCTACCGCCCTGTTCAGGATGCTGGTGATTCTTTCTATGCAGACCTGGAACCCAGGAGTGGCGGGATACATTCGTGAGTGCAGAAAATCGTTTAAAACTGTATCAGAAACTGAGAAAATGCCATTGCATTACTATAAACTTTTATGAACACAATGGCTGGCCTGCTTCGGAAAATGAAGCTAGCACGAGGTGGTTTATAGTTGATTTGCCCTCCTAAGTCCAAAAGATGAAAGTACGTTTGACTCTGGGAGCCCAGGTGTCTTGCAGTCCCCAAGAAAGCTCTCATTGTGGTAAGGTTAGCAAGAGCATGTTGAGAACGGAGAGAGATTAGGATGGGATTGCTGGACAGGAAGATCAGGCCAGTGTCGTCACTGGTGTTTTGGTGTGGATAAATCTTTCAGGAACTTTGTTACAAAAAGAAATCACTGGCCCTGGTCCAGGTGGCTTGGTCCTGTATTAACATCTTAGCTGTATGGAGTTGGCACTCCACCCAGTAAGCAGACCAGAGAGGTGCAGGGCTGCCAGGTGGGCACAGCCTCCTCAGGCCCAGAGAACAGACAGGTAAAGGGAAGCACCACTATCTGAGACTTTCTTTCTTAAATTCTTTTTAAAACTGAGATTAATGATTTGACTTTAAAAATTTTTACTGTATTATTGAGGTGATATGTAGAGTGCTTATGGTGACACGTCAGGTAAAAGGAACGTTCCTTTTTGGTCAATGTCATCCCTTCTCTCTCTCTGTCCTAGTTTTTCCCTCCCATCCCCACCCACAGTTCTATAGTTCATTTTCTACATAGTGTCCAGCGAGTACCTTGCAGCATTTGCTCATGCTTTGGCTCTCCATTTCTGTGTTTGTAGGCTTTCTTAAAGGATAAAAAGCCTATCTGGATCCCAGCTCTACTAACAGTGTCTGTGCTGTGTGTTCTGATTTGCTGTACTGCTGATTCTGGAGTTTTCTGTGTGGTAATGTTCATTTCTCACTTCTGCACTGGCACATGAAATTATAGCTAAACAGAGCAAGTAAATTAACAGGACTGCATTCTTACAATTAAAAAAAAGTTACAGAATGTTTCATTCAAATAGTATCTCCATCAAGGGATCTTTCTTTCCTGAGGAATTTCAAGAAAGTCCCTTGTGTCCTTTCCTCTACAGGAAGGAGGGAAGCCTGGTGTATGAAAATACCTAGTTATGACAACAATGACTATAGTAATATTCTTTGATGATGCCCCAACATAATCAATGACCCGTACTTGTTGATTGTCAATGGAGTGGTGTACTTACAAGCAGAGCCTCTGAGTTAGGAATTCTGGTTCTAGAACTTCATTCCAGCTTGTGGGGTTTCTAGTAACTTACATTACCTCTGTGTCTCTGTTTCCTTGTCTTTACACAGGTAGATGTGGTGAGATTTGGAAATGTGGTGTAAGCCATAGATCCACTTGCCTAGCAAGTATGAAGCCCTGAGCTCAAATGCTTGTACTCAAAAAAGAAAACAATGTGGTACCCTACCAGATAGAATTCTGATGAAGATTAAATTAGTATGTATAAATAACACCTGGATCATACTAATTTCTCAATGTAATTTGTCTGAAATAATGACCTAAAGTATAAAATAGAAAAATGACCCTGGTCCTTGACCTTGGACAGAAAACTAAACAGTAACTTTGGGAAGTGCATTGCTATTGGTATCTCTACTGTCTGTATATTACCATTAGTTAGGTACTATAGTTATAAAATAGAAATATGAGCCAGAAAGCTGGTATGAAATCAGAAGCTCTTTCTGCTGGGCACTAGTGACTTACACCTGTAATCCTAGCTACTCTGGGGTCTGAGATCATGGTTGGAAGCCAGGCCAGGCAGGAAAGTCCTTGTGACTCTTATCTCCAGTTGACCAGCAAAAAAATGCCCAAAGGTATGGCTTAAATAGTAGAGCACCAGACTTGAGTGGAAAAAAACATGAGCATGAGGCTCTGAGTTCAAGCCCCCAAAGGAAAAAAAAAATAAAAACATCTTCCTACAGTATATTGACATGGCTCAACTTTATACAGTTATATCTCTATAAATAATTTCTCTGATTTTTAGCTATTAAGATCCACTGGTTATTAGCAAATTTAACTCCCACCCTTTTAAAAAATGTAAAAGTGTAACTTCTTTCAATGTCACTTAATTTCCATTAGTTGGAATTATCCTGCTGTCTTTGTCAGATCAATGTGGCCTGGACACCTGTGTTTCTTATTCTCTTTGAGGACATACCTCCTCTGGCCATCTATTCATTGTCTCATGTCTATGACTGTTGATTTGTTAAACCATGCTAGTCTCCATGTGGAGCACACAGCTGTACTGGGGTGGGAGTCACATGTGCATAGACAGTGATGTTAGGCGGCACTGTTGGAATCTGAAGGTCTCCTGGCAGCTCCATGCCTTGAGTTTTATCCTGTTATTTCTTCCCCAGACTTCTCTCTAGCTTGTGGAACCCTTCTTATCTCTGGCTCTTCCCCTTGGATTGTGCCTTCCTGAAATGCTTGCTACTTCCCCTGTGTGTTCTCCTATGGAGTTTTGGCTCTTTGCAGCCTCTGTGAAGGTCAGAAGTGGCTGCTCAGGCATCTGTAGGGAGAGGGAGCAACACTTTGCAGAACCTGCAACTGCCACATATCCTGGCTAGTGGGTGTCTCCTGTCCCCCAAGATGTGCTATGCTTTCACCCCAGATGCTGAGGGTACTTCTCACCTGAGGAAGATTCTTGCATAGCTCACTGCCTGGCCCTGGTAAGGAGGGGGTGTTTCACAAACCAGCTCCCAGGTCCTCTGTTCATGAGATCTCTACCTGGTGTTCTGGTTCACAGCACTCCAAAGAGAAGCTAAGACCCATACCACATGTCTGCCTTTTGTGGTCACATTCTTTTATTACTTTTTAAAATGCCCTGCAAGGAGAAAATATTTGCAAAACATATCCAAAGCAATCTTTGGCCACACTAAAGTATTAGTAAATAGCAATAGTTTTCATGAGATCCACGTAGTTTATTGTTTTGACTGAAAATTCAATGGAATTGTGAAGCAACAGCAAGGGAAGTGGCTTTCCAGATTCTATAGAATGGAAATAATCCTCTGGATTAAAGAAATTGAATAATATATTGTTTTGTGGCCATTTAAACAATTTCACCATCGAATCTGAGAATTTAGTAGAAACCTACAGAATTGAGAAACGTTTAGGTTTAGAATAACATGACTTCTGTTTTGAAACTGTGAGGTCACTGCCACTGATGTGGCATCAGGCTGTGTGGTACTGTCCCAGAACCTCTCACAGACAGACTTCCTAAAAAAAACTGCAGGTTAAGTCTGCCCCTGTGACATCACTGAGTGACCCCAGTGACCTCCCTAGAAGTCCATCCATTGCCCTGTGCTTCTGATGTGAATCCATACATTTCCTTCCTCTGTACACAGCCTTCTCCCTTGACAGCACATATACCCACCCACTGTATCCTCAATATTCTGGCTTAGT